ACACTGAGGGTTGCGATCCGTTGCCGGACACGAAAAAAGACAAAAAGGAAAAAAAAAAAAATTATCCTTTTTAAAATCTCCTAAGTTTTTCTTACCAATGAAAATATCACTGAGGGTTGCGATCCGTTGCCGGACACGAAAAAAGACAAAAAGGAAAAAAAAAAATTATCCTTTTTAAAATCTCCTAAGTTTTTCTTACCAATGAAAATGAAAGAATAATACTGGAAACACTCTACATTATCAAAGCAATAATTATGCACAGTATTTGGAAGAAGAGGCTATAAACACGACTCAATAATCTACAGTCAAATTTTTAAAATTTCTTTACTAAAGAGTTAATGTATCTTTTTCTTAATAATATGTCCACTTGGACTCTCAGTGTTTTCTCTGGAGGCCTGTCACTAAAAATTTCCATGAGAATAATGTATTAACCACTCCTCATACATTAATAAACTCATTAATGTTATTTTTCTGTTTTTTCAGACAATCACTGATTTATTTACTGTGTATAATATGTACTGTGCTTGATCAAGTCCATATAGTGCAACTGGTTTCTAAGCATCCCTTTAATATGTATTATTTATATATATTTTGTTTGCTTTGCTCACCCTTCAAGTAACGCAGTAATGGTGGGGTGGTAGTTTTCTACTAATACCACTACCTGTATATCCAAATAACACTGATGTGGCTGAGCTATGAGACAAAAACTGCAAAGAAGCTGGTCCAAGGGTTACAGCATTTACCATCTACTTTCCACTCATGAGTCAGAGAAATAGTTTCTCAATTCTCTTCCCTTGTGAAAAAAAAAGTCCACAGTTAATCTTGACTTGCTTTCAACATGTTTTCAGATCATAACACATTAAAACAGCTGAGATCAACAACTGCATACCACTGTTTTTAAAGTTATTCCCTAAGTTAGTATTACCTTCAAAATCAACTTTACTCAAAGAACTAGAAACTTAAGACTTACATAAGTTAACTAAGTTACTCAGAAATCAGTTATCTAACAATGTCAAGTAGCACAATAGAGTGGAAAGGTAGCATGTTATGAGCTGATGATCGTAACCAGGCAGGCTGGTTTAGTGGAAAGCTGGGACAAGATTTAAAATAAGATAAATCCTGTCTCTATCAGTCTTTAATCTTCATTTTCCTCATCGTAAAATGGGAGAAAACACTATCTATGCATAAGATTGTTGTGAAGATTTAGTGAGATGAATATTAAGTGAGATAATACTAGTTAGAACAAAGCCTGGCACAAAGTAAGCATGTAAATAAACATTTCTTTTCTTTCTGCTATTTATTCAGATTACATGTGGCAAATCTGGAGGGGCTACAGAAGTAAGAATTAAGGTCAGACATACTGCACTAAGAAGAGTCAAGTGGCAGAGATAAGATGAAACCAGTAGAGAGCAGAAAAATGGCCTCAAAAGCACAGCAGTCTAGTGCCATTCAGTACACAGGGAGCAGCCTTACATAGTTCAAAGGCTCCTGAAGACATCACTGTAAGTTATCACAGTTCAATAACTGATATTCATAATGATGATTCTGAGTCATGCAGAAAAAAATGTAAATTATGCTCAGTCTTCTCTGCTTCAGAAGGTGGTGATATGGGTGAAACTTAGAAAATGGTTAAACTTTTAAAAAATTGTCAGTTGTGAAAGCCAAGTTTAATCATCTGGAAAATTCATCACATGGAGGTATTCATTTCCCAGAAGATGATAAAAACAGATGAAGTGTGGTCCTACTACACCTGAGAAGTACCTACCAGAAAAATAATAAGGGGTCTTCTAAATTAATACAGAAAAATAAAGCAGCTTTCTTCTCTCAGAACACATAATCTGGAATTTATGAATTTAACACTCAGTTCTCTTCAAAACTCATTTTGCTTATACCAAACTAAATTAAATAATATACCAGATATTTGTTTATACTATTATTCCTAATCTGTTACTAACTAGATTGAAAAATTTTTTAAAAATTTTAAAAATGATTTAACAACTGACTATGCAAGAATTAATTCTGTATAACTATATGCAATTGGTTATAATGTGCTTATGGTCTTAAGGTACTGTATGATTATTTGACCTTTCAGAGGACACTTATAATCCGCAATAAATGTTCCCTTCATTCTTTTGTACTAAACTAAATGAAATATTCGACTAATTTGAGATGACAAAACTATAATTGTGATGGCTCATTATGCCTAAGACATCTACCTAAACAAGCCTATTCAAGAATTTCAAATCATGAAGACTGGAAAACCCCATTTGCTGAAAAGGAGCTACAACTTGAAAGATTCCAAATTTAGTTTGACTGATTAAAAATCAATGTAAAAAAGTTGCACTTGCCTCTCCAAAATGTATGCAACATTTAAAGTCCTTTATTTGCAACCTAAATTAATATTGAGATTAAGTTAGCAGGTAGAAGAGCACACGTGTAGCTAAATTAAGGGCAAATTCTCCTTCTTAATAGGACTTAAAATATTCACACAATTTCAGGAGAAACGAATTGCTCTAATGTAAATATTTGCTTGTAGAATTTTTCAGGCTATTTGAAAAGTATTTAGGAAATTCTGGATACTTTGGGGCCCACAGAGAAGGACGTAAAAAATTATTAGGGAGCAGATTATCCTTTCTGGAATGTTCACCTTCCATAATAAGTACTAAGTTTTTTAATTCTAAAAACAGGTAACCACAAAGTAAATCACTTTCTGTTTTTACTGAAAGAGTATGCTTAAAGCATAAATTATTAAACTAATTATTTATATTCTATAATTTAAAACATTTAAAAATGTTTAAATTTTAAAAAATACCTTAATTTCAAAATGACCAAATTAAATACATTTGGTATACATCTCAAACATGATTCTAGAGTTTCAACTGGCTTCACAGATTATTTCAGGTTAGTAAACTGTTTCCCTCAAACCTATATTTTAAAAAACTGAAAATGGTAAATCTGAAAAAATAACATCATATGTTATATAAGAAAGCAACTAAGAATCTCATAAGACTATTAATCAACTGTATCTGACAGGGCACCTTAAGCCATTTAACACAAGACATAAATCACTTAATTCCTTATTACTGAAAAACAATCCCAAGATTATGAGACAGCTTTTGGTCATCTAGAAGAAATGGCACACAAGCTGATAAGCCGTTAAGAATTTAGTTTCATTCACACATATGAAATTACTGCTGGATGTTTCATAGTTCAAAACTTATATTTTTTTCCCCTTTTTGTCTTTTTTTTTAACTGACCGGTAACGGGATCGCAACCCTCGGTGTCGCACCCGTACTGGGGACTGGGGACCAGCAACAGGATCGCAACCCTTGGTGTTGCGCCCGCCCCGCACTCAGCCAGTGAGCGGGAACCGGTCTCCACATGGGATCCGAACCCTCGGCGGGAGTGCTGCCACGCTCCCAAGCGGTGCACTCTCCAGTGTGCCACGGGGCTGGCCCCAAAACTTATTTTGTTATGCTGAGGTACAAGGGATCAAAATTTTTTATGCCTGTTTGTTTTTGTAGTGTTTGCTTAAATCTTTGCACCCTACAAAGTATATCCTTTTGGAGTGATTGTGTGTGTGCGCGCGCGCGCACGTGTGTGTGTGTGTACGTGAGTAATGATTGCTAAAATATTAATTGCTTATGGTTATGAGCATGGGCTCTAGAGTCAGGCTGCCTCAGTCTGAATCCCAGCTAGCTGAATGACGTTGACAAGTAAATTAACATCACTGTGCCTCAGTTGCCTTATCTATAAAATGGGCAATATAACAGTAACTACCGTTAGGTTTTGCTGTGAGGATTAAAAGATTAAATACACACAAAGCACTTTAGAAGAGTGTCTGGATAAAATAAATACCATTGACGTATTAGCTACTATTATAAATCATGTTGTCTCATGTACAAAAATTACATGTATACTTCATTGTATTTTAGAAGTTATATGTATCAGATTTCAAAAGTTGTTTTGTGTGTGAGGAGAAAGGGCTAAATTTTTAATGGTTGGATAAAAACCACTACACCACATTTATTTTCAGAATTTGACAATAGTTACATTCAGCTGTGTTTTCTTGACCATTTAATTGCTAAATTTCTTTCCCCTCTCTGTACTAGGTGACTACAGTGCACAATTATAGTGTAATATGTGGTACCCAAAGTAAGAATTTTTTATTTAGTTGTAGAGAGAAAGCATACACACAAAATAAGTGAATGAAGTCATGTTAAATATTAGCAATAGACATATACAGATACATTATTTAGAATTTTGTACCATCTGATGTGTGTGTACAGATGTCTGTGGGACAGAAGCAGGCAGAGATGAGCATAATTTATGTGTAGATGCACTGGGACAGAGCACTAAAACAACTGGTAATGGGAAATAAGGCTCACTAGGGAAAGTAGGACAAAATTAGAGAACTTTGACATGTAACATTTTAAAAGTTTAAAATTTATCTGGCAGGTAAAAGGCAGTCACTGTAGTTTCTTGTAAAAAAAAAAAGAAAGAAAAGAAAGATCAGTTTAGATTTTTTATGCAAAATTAACTGTGGGCAGGTTGAAACATGAATTAGGAAGTTCAATTCTGACTCAGTAGGGAAAAATAAAAGGAAACAAAAGTAGGTAATTTATTAGACAGATGAGGGGAAGGGAAGGGAAGACACAAAATTTTCGAATAAAGCAGACATTCTTGATTGCCTTCCAATATCCTGTGCCTGTTCCTCCCTTCTACAAGGATTCCAACATTCTCTGGTATCCACTCTTCCCTGACACAGCTCAGGTACCTTAGGGGAAAATTAACCACACACACTGCTTCAAGGTAAACACAACTGGTTTAAGGATAATCTCATATGCCTTGCCAAGGAATGGTTCAGAAATAAGCAAGACCCACTCCTGAAAATGTGAGAGGCCAATGAGAAGACTTTTGGGAAAGTTCTTCCAAATTCTGGGAGGCGTTCGGGAAGCAACCTTTGCTCTTTTCTGCTGGATGTGATCAAAGTAGCATGCAGTGGTAGGCTGCCTATATGAGTGTCAGAGGAAACTCCCTCAGAATGCAACCACTGTAGACAGACAGCAAGGCTGGGAGACAGAGAAACTAGCCTGCTGACAATACCGCTGAGTTGCTTCATTGAACAACCCTGACAGGGCTCAGATCTGTGAGCCAGTAAATTTCCTTCCTGTTTAGTCTCAGGTAGCATTTCTGTGATTTACTTCTGAAGGCTTGCCAAATAATACAGTTTCTGAGCTTGGGCATGAAAAAAACTGTGCTGGTAACACAAACAAGGAAGCTGTGAAGGAAATTTATTTGCAGAGTTGACAAATTCAGTTTTGGGCACTGTAAGGTCAAATTGATAATGCCAGCTTTCTTAGACTTGTATCCTCGTATAATCAGAACATATCTAAAGAACCAGTGTGCTTATACTCCAGTTAAAAGAATATTTACCTTGTAGAACTAGGGTTAAACATAGAAAATTGAGAAGAGTTCTGATGGAATTTATCCTTGCCTCAGAGACTGGAACAAATAGATCAATTTCTGAACACATACAAACTACCATGACTGAACCAAGAAGAAATACAAAACCTGAACAGATTGATAATGAGCAATGAAATTGAAGCAGTAATCAGCAGCCTCCCATCAAAGCCCAAGACTGGATGGCTTCACTGCCGAATTCAAACCTTTAAAGAAGAATTAATACCAATCCCTTTTCAAACTATTCCAAGAAATTGAAACAGGCCATTCTCTCAAACTCATTGCATGGGGCCAGTATCACCCTCATACCAAAATCAGACAAAGACATAAAAAAATAAATAAATAAAACTACAGGTCAATATCCTTGATGAACATAGGTGAAAAAATCCTCAAGAAAATATTAGCATGAGATTATTTACGTAAAGCATTTTTTACAATTCCTAGAACTGGAAATTATATAATGATATTATGATAATGTAGCATTATCAGATTTTTAAAAATCTTTCCTTTTACTTCATTTCAATTGTAATACAGAAGAAAATGCAAAAATGAAATAGTAAAAATACTATTGTAAGGTAAACTACAATTGTAAACTATATTTATTTCCCTCAAATATTTAAACACATTAAGCACACCTACTTACAACTACCATATATAATTATGTGTTTTATAATGCTTTCTAGAAAGCACTGGCCACATTAAAATGTACTCTGAAATCATCGTTACCATAAATTATTTTTATATGGACATGGCCACGTTTTTGAAAACAAAGCCTGCAATTTCTTCCAAATCAAGTATGAATATGGTATTTTCAAAGAAGTGAGCTTACCCATGGCTTTTTCCTCAGATTTCAGAGCTTCTGTTGCTTTGTGCTGCACCTCTGTAGCAGCATCTGCTACCTTTGAATCTATGCTTTTGGCACTTGCAGATTTTGATAATTCTGATTCTGAAGATTTTTGGGACAACTGAAGCTGAATGGTAAACTTCTCATGCTACAAAACATTTAAAAATGGAAATGAAACATCCATAAGTGAAATCAACCCTAGTGGATGGTAGGTTTACAGAAGTAATAACTTTTACCTTAAGAGCTTCTTCAGGAACCCTCATTTCTCCTCGGACTACAGTGAAAAGATTTGTATGTAAACGGGGCTAAGGAAAAATATAACTTCAAAATTCTGGTAATTGAGCTTAAAACAGTCATCAAATATAATTTAGAAATTGTTCTGTTTCAACAGGTAATTATAGCAGAATTATTATAGTCCCCTTAATAGTTAAATGTTAAAATATGCTGATAAATATAAAAATATTCATTTTTAAATACTAAAAATCTTCAAATCCATCAAGTATTCTAACCTTAGATGATAGTGGCCTTCAAGAAACAAATAACTAGGTAATTAATTGGAGCACAAAGATATTTTCAATTTTCACCAGCAACAATATGGCATGACTACAAGGAAGAAAAAGCACCTGGATCAAATTATATTGACAGCTAATCACAAAAATGTAAAAGGAAATATTTCATCAGTGATTAAGATTAACCAACTGCAATCCTGAAGGAATCTGATTACTCAGACTTCATAAACATTCATGAAATGAAGTTCATTTCTCAAGTGCAAAAGAAATAGCATCCTTAGAGCAACCACAACCACCCTTTTCCCTATGAATTGCAATCAGGGTCATATCATATTATCAAACAATTAATTCTATACAGATTAGAACCAAGTGCTGAATATAATGAACCCTTTCATTATTATGCCAAAAAGAACAATGCCTCTGTATATTAAAGAGATTCACTGCAAAGTAGAAGTCACATTTCTCACCATTACTTAACCCTGTAATGAAAGGGCTTTTATGACCATGTACTAAATTCTATTCTTCTTTACCAATTCAGAGCATTCATGACTTCAAGAGGCGAAAGTTGTAACTCCCATGACTACTTGTGGGAAAAGACGGTTACCCAAGCATAAGGGAACCAGTAAACTTATTAATGAGTATTTAGTCTATGTTTCTACTTATTAAAATAATAAAAACTCACATTCTCCAGGACAGACCACGTCAGGTCACAAATCAAGTCTCAACAAATTTTAAAAAACTGAAATCATTTCAAGTATCTTTTCAAACCACAATGACTCAAACTAATAAGTGAAACTTTGCAAACTATACAAAAACATGGAAATCAAACAACATGCTCCTGAATGACCTATGGGTCAAAGAACAAGTTAAATCAGTTAAATTAGATTAGTTTTTTTTTCTTAAAACTAATGAAAGTAAAGGCACATCATAACAAAACCTTGCAAAGGCAGTACTAAGAGGGAATTTTATTACAATAAATGCTTACATCAAAAGAATAGAAAGATTTCACATATACAACCAAACATTACACCTCGAAGAACTAGAAAAACAAGAACAATCTGATCCTAAAGTTATTAGGCATTAAGAAATAATAAAGATCACAGCAGAATTAAATGAAATAGAGACCCGCCCCCCCAAAAAATGGCACAAAAGATGAACAAAACAAAAAGTTGTTTTTTGGAGAAGATACACAAAATAGACAAATCATTAGCTAGACTTACTAAAAACGAGAGAAGAACGAAATAACAAAAATTAGCAATGAAAAAAGAGACATTACAACTGATACCAAAGAAATACAAAGAATCATTAGAGACTATCATGAACAACTATATGCCAACAAATTTGAAAACCTGGAACAAATAGATCAATTTCTGAACACATACAAACTACCATGACTGAACCAAGAAGAAATACAAAACCTGAACAGATTGATAATGAGCAATGAAATTGAAGCAGTAATCAGCAGCCTCCCATCAAAGCCCAAGACTGGATGGCTTCACTGCCGAATTCAAACCTTTAAAGAAGAATTAATACCAATCCCTTTTCAAACTATTACAAAAAATTGAAACAGGCCATTCTCTCAAACTCATTGCATGGGGCCAGTATCACCCTCATACCAAAATCAGACAAAGACATAAAAAAATAAATAAATAAAACTACAGGTCAATATCCTTGATGAACATAGGTGAAAAAATCCTCAAGAAAATATTAGCGAAAAGAATACAACAGCAGGGATACAAGGATGGCTCAACATATGCAAATCAGTATATGTGATACACCACATTAACAAAATCAAGGACAAAAATCATTTGATTTTCTCAGTAGACCCAGAAAAAAGCATTTGACAAAATTCGACATCTCTTCATGATAAAGACTCTCAACAAATTAGGTACAAAAGGAAAGTATTTCATAATAATAAAAGTCATATATAACAAACCCACCACTAACATCATCCTGAATGGGAAAGAGCTGAAAGCTTTTGCTTTAAGAACGAATTCAAACCTTTAAAGAAGAATTAATACCAATCCCTTTTCAAACTATTCCAAGAAATTGAAACAGGCCATTCTCTCAAACTCATTGCATGGGGCCAGTATCACCCTCATACCAAAATCAGACAAAGACATAAAAAAATAAATAAATAAAACTACAGGTCAATATCCTTGATGAACATAGGTGAAAAAATCCTCAAGAAAATATTAGCGAAAAGAATACAACAGCAGGGATACAAGGATGGCTCAACATATGCAAATCAGTATATGTGATACACCACATTAACAAAATCAAGGACAAAAATCATTTGATTTTCTCAGTAGACCCAGAAAAAAGCATTTGACAAAATTCGACATCTCTTCATGATAAAGACTCTCAACAAATTAGGTACAAAAGGAAAGTATTTCATCATAATAAAAGTCATATATAACAAACCCACCACTAACATCATCCTGAATGGGAAAGAGCTGAAAGCTTTTGCTTTAAGAACAGGAACAAGACAAGGATGCCCACTGTCACGACTCCTGTTTAACACAGTATTAGAAGTACCAGCAAGAGCAATCAGGCAAGAGAAAGAAATAAAGGGAATACAAATTGGAAAAGATGAAGTTAAATGTCCCTGTCTGCAGATTACATGATCTTATATATAGAAAAACCTACAGACTTTATTAAAAAAAAAAAAAAAGAGCTTTATATAAGACTGTGATTGCTATTCTACATAATCCCTATGCTCAATTTATTCAAGAAATGTTTACCCAAAAGTATCGTATAACTTCGTATAATGTATGCTATACGAAGTTATTACGCGTGTGTGTGTGTGTACGTGAGTAATGATTGCTAAAATATTAATTGCTTATGGTTATGAGCATGGGCTCTAGAGTCAGGCTGCCTCAGTCTGAATCCCAGCTAGCTGAATGACGTTGACAAGTAAATTAACATCACTGTGCCTCAGTTGCCTTATCTATAAAATGGGCAATATAACAGTAACTACCGTTAGGTTTTGCTGTGAGGATTAAAAGATTAAATACACACAAAGCACTTTAGAAGAGTGTCTGGATAAAATAAATACCATTGACGTATTAGCTACTATTATAAATCATGTTGTCTCATGTACAAAAATTACATGTATACTTCATTGTATTTTAGAAGTTATATGTATCAGATTTCAAAAGTTGTTTTGTGTGTGAGGAGAAAGGGCTAAATTTTTAATGGTTGGATAAAAACCACTACACCACATTTATTTTCAGAATTTGACAATAGTTACATTCAGCTGTGTTTTCTTGACCATTTAATTGCTAAATTTCTTTCCCCTCTCTGTACTAGGTGACTACAGTGCACAATTATAGTGTAATATGTGGTACCCAAAGTAAGAATTTTTTATTTAGTTGTAGAGAGAAAGCATACACACAAAATAAGTGAATGAAGTCATGTTAAATATTAGCAATAGACATATACAGATACATTATTTAGAATTTTGTACCATCTGATGTGTGTGTACAGATGTCTGTGGGACAGAAGCAGGCAGAGATGAGCATAATTTATGTGTAGATGCACTGGGACAGAGCACTAAAACAACTGGTAATGGGAAATAAGGCTCACTAGGGAAAGTAGGACAAAATTAGAGAACTTTGACATGTAACATTTTAAAAGTTTAAAATTTATCTGGCAGGTAAAAGGCAGTCACTGTAGTTTCTTGTAAAAAAAAAAAGAAAGAAAAGAAAGATCAGTTTAGATTTTTTATGCAAAATTAACTGTGGGCAGGTTGAAACATGAATTAGGAAGTTCAATTCTGACTCAGTAGGGAAAAATAAAAGGAAACAAAAGTAGGTAATTTATTAGACAGATGAGGGGAAGGGAAGGGAAGACACAAAATTTTCGAATAAAGCAGACATTCTTGATTGCCTTCCAATATCCTGTGCCTGTTCCTCCCTTCTACAAGGATTCCAACATTCTCTGGTATCCACTCTTCCCTGACACAGCTCAGGTACCTTAGGGGAAAATTAACCACACACACTGCTTCAAGGTAAACACAACTGGTTTAAGGATAATCTCATATGCCTTGCCAAGTTTTTCCGTGTCCGGCAACGGATCGCAACCCTCGGTGTTGCCCCCGTACCAGACCGGGGACCGGCAACGGGATTGCAACCCTCGGCGTTGCCCCCGCGCCACACTCAGCCAGCGAGCGGAACCGGTCTGTATGTGGGATCTGAACCCTCGGGCGGGAGTGCCGCCGCGCTTCCCAAGCGGCGCACTTATCCAGTGCGCCACCGGGCCGGCCCAACATCCTATATTTTTGAAATCTGCAAAGTATGTTCATGTTTTGTTGTGGGTATCAACCACATTAATCAGGAAAAATCTTAACTTCTCTGAGTCAAAAGTCCTTAATTTTTTATGATGTTCACCTCTCCCTTGATCACTTTAGCAGCCATTATCAGTACTGCCCAGCAAACGGTACTACAACAGTGTTCCAAGTACAGATTATTCATGATTTTAAGATACTATGACAATGTTTCTTTACCTTGTTTCTAATTGGATTAACACAATCATTTTGTGGGCCATTATGAAGGTGATAGGCTCTTTACTTAGAATTATTACTTATGTGATTGGGATGATAAAGAGCGAAGATCTTGAGATTTAAGGTATTTCAGTAATGTTCAAATAATTTCCCACTAAATGTGTAAACCATACAATATTCTGATGTACCTCCTAGCTTATTAGCGGTTCTTCCTAAGTCTTTTTAATGTAGGCTTCGGTCCTTGGGCCCCTTACCAATCTATATTCACTCTTTTGGTGATCT